CTGTCTTTGCTTCAAAGCATCCTATAGTAAGGGGAGAACTCAAGCAGGGCTGAGGTAACCAGAAAGAGCACAGCTGGCTTACCAAGGTGACCTCTTTGCCCTGTGGATCAGCAACAGGGACTTTCAGGTACAATTCAGCCTGGAAGGATAGAGCAAGATTAAGGCAGAGAGAAGAGGCAAGAAGTATTTGTCCACTTTGACACCTACGGCCTGAGTATGAGGAGTCCTAAGGACTTAGAAGGAGAAAGAGGGTCAGCTCTGGTTGTGTTGGGCAAGGTAGATCCATTCCATTTTCAGGCAACAGATTTCTTTTTCTTTTTTTTACTAGAGAAGTCTGAGATAAGCTAACAGTAGTCAAAAGTACAAGGAAAATCTGTCTGCAATAGTCAAGCCTATGCAAAATGGTTCCCACCAAGTAATGGTTCCCACAAGTTCATGTGTTAGAATTGAAAGTGATCCTAACAAGTTGGAAGCTGGGGTTAACCACAGTGTGGAGAAAGCCTGAGTCTCATTTTAGCAAGGAGAAGTGGGGAAAAATAATGAAAGATTGTCTTCAATTCAAAACCAGATCCAGAAATCCCACAGCTATTTCTGTGGTTGGTTGGTATTTTCACTGTTTCTATTCCTCCTCCTTCATTTCCTCCTCTTTTTACCTTTTTGTCTTTCTATCATGATACTTTTTGAACTGTAATGCATTACAGTATTGCATAGGCAGATTTCTTGCAATGTCTTCTACTGGAGGTCAATGTCTTCTGAAGTATTGGTGAGACCCCTTTCAAAGTCACTGCACATTTTAAAAAATCTATAGAATAAAAGCTTCAAATAGACCTGATTAAGAATAATTTGCCAGAGGAGATACGGCATAACATGAGAAGTTATGAATTAATGGACTCATGTAAAGATAATCTTCTCCCATTTATTGATAAGTAGTTTTCTCTATGCTAAGAGATGTTTAAGTCCTGATTTATACATATTCATCAGAGTACTCCTAAGAGGAAAGAAGGTATATTGTTAACCTGATGCTATAGATGAGAAAACTGAGGATTATAATACTTTGCTTATAGTCAGAATGTTATTACAAGGAATGCTTCTACAGGACACAAACTAATATATATATATATATATATATATATATATATATATATATATACCATTTGAAGTGGGATATTCAGTTGAGATGGAAATTCTTAGGATAAAGCATGAATTATACTCTGAAGAGGGAGCCACATTATAGACATTGAGATAACATACAGCACATTCATTGTGAAGTTCTAGTCAGCATCTAGAGTATTCAGATTAATTATCAAAATTCTGTCTTTAGCGTGAGCTTCTTATAAAAAAGATTTCAGACAATTTTTTTTAACATATCAAGGGGAAAATCAGTATTATAAGGTACTATGGTTCCCTTGCTTTTTTTTTTCCTTTAAGCATAAAAAGATTTAACTAAGTGTCATTTTACTGTCAATATCTCTCCTTCCCACTGGCACTCCTTAGAGGCACAGCTTAATGTTCCTACTCATTTTATTACACACGATTCCAACATTTTAGTATGAACAATGCAGACTCCCATTTTACCAGATGTATTCTGGCAATTCCCATCAAAAAATTTACCTACAATGTCCAGGCTAGGTAAGAGGAGTTTTCTGCAAACCTCAAATTTCCTGCAAGCAAGATATTTCAGTATCTGTAAAAGGACCATTTATCTTCCCTGTCTTATTATATTGAATTGTTGGGTATTTTCCATTTACACAGTTAGAATGGAAGCCAATACTGAAATATGGTCAGCAAAAGCCTTTGTTTATAAATTCACCCAACTAGAAGATGAAGAGACCAATGTCCAAGCTATATAATTAGAAAATTCAAGGTACTCTATTTTTTTTTTTGTGTATACATGGGATAAAAATGATTCATCATATTTTTGACCTTTACTTTTACGTTTAACCATATTGAAGGTTGCTTTCCTACTATTGCAGAGAATTGTCTGTGAAATCACTCAATTGTTTCAGATACAAGAGACAGTTCATTTCTGTCTCATTTTTGTCTTTGATTATGAATTAGTTACCTGAAAATTCATTATCATAAATCTATATGAAAGAGAAGAAATTTCAAAAGAATTTTGAGTTAAAAGTCGTGGCTGCAAGTTACTTAGAAAATACCAAGTGCTGAAACTATCTCCCTTGAAGATCAAATTAAGTAGTTGAATAATCCACCCATTAATTATGAATCTGAATATACTGGATATCTCTGGATCTTAATATTGTCCTAGTGGGCTGGAACTTATAATGGTCTCAGTGAGAGACATTGCTCATTTAAATGTCCATATAGACCTTTTTAAAATCCATCTTAATAATAATCAATTTCTAATAGGATTATACCATTTTATTCATCTCTTAATATTTCCAACATAAAATATACTGTAGAAGTAAGTCTATTATTTTGACTTTTTAAAGTTATTTTTATTTTTTCTCATCATTAACAACGGATTGGCAACAGGCCCAGGGACTATCTGGCTATCTGTTTACCTATAACAATGTTTTAAGTTAGACAAACTCTATTACTTTGTTTCTATGTATTAATAAACATAATTTTCTCTCATTCTTGTAGTAACAATGCACAAAGTCAAGAAGTATGGTCTATGGAGCAAAACTCATAAATTTCTTAGAGTATAAACTTTACATATCTATTCCAAAGACCTGTGGGTTCATGATTTATTCTATGAGGAGATGTTGAATATTTGGATCCTAAATCCAAAATCACGGTGAACATATGTCCTTACAAGACAGTTTTGGTTTATGGTGTTTTCTAGACATAAATATAAATGGCAACCCCTTTTGCTTGAAAAAAAATTCACAGTTGGAATTATAAATTATATGGTCACTCTTTGCAAAACAAATGAACATATAATTTAAAACAAATAATTATGCACCTAGAGCAGAGTGTCCTTTCAATCTTGATTCAGTTTGCAATACCTGGTTTCTTTTATTTTGAAAATTTACAAAGATAAAAGGAAAACTTATTAGATAGGCTAAAGTTATAGCTTCTAGTTTCTAGTTTCAAAATAACATATAATCTACATAGCTTTAAATATTCTACTGTGTGATTTATTAAAATGTGATATGGTCAAAGAAAATTTTCTATAGTATTTTATTTTCTACCATTTCTTTTTTAAATTTTTTATTTGTTCTTTTTAGATATACATGACAGTAGAGTGTATTTTGACATATTATATATACATGAATATAACTTCCTATTCTTGTGGTTATACATGATGTGGATTTACACTGTTTGTGTATTCATATTCATATATGAGCATAGGACAGTTACGTCAGAGTCATTCTACTGTCTTTCCTATTCCTATCTCCCTTCCCTTCCTTTCATTCCCGTTTTTTAAATTAGAGAACACACATGAAATTCATTCAATGGGGACTGCATGTTTTCCTATTCAAATGTACTAAGCCATTTTAAGTGCAAGTCAAAGTTACACTCCTCATGATACCCAATAATATTTTCCCATTCACCCAATACTGTGTTTGCAGTGCTTTCCAGAGCCAAACCTACAACAAGCATATTTGGAATCATGAGATGGACAGAAAACACCAAGAAATTCTTACTATTTGGAATGGGAAAACATATCTTAACTAAAAATGTAAGAAATTTAATACTAAAAATTAATTCCAGATACTAAGTAGTTCATACTCAAAATAAGCATGGACCACACTTAAACACAACTTTTAGCTCAGTTTGGGGATTCTGATGGGGCTGTTGTCTCCAACATGTTCATGTAACATTCATAAAAGAGAAATCAAGGCATTATTAATAAGGAGCAAAAACTTGGTCTTACGTTACAGTTCCTAACAAATGAGCAATCTATTTGTGAAGAGGGAAAATATGATTTCCTCACTTTAGTGTTCATAATCATGGAAGCCAGGTAAGTGAGTAACATCCACATTACCACTTCTCAATTACTTTTCTGTGCTGCATCTACATTTATCAAAGCATTCTCAAAGAAGTAAGGAGCATTCTGTTAAAAGTCCAGGCTATAATATATTTAACCCAAGCTCTAAAATCTTATTTTATTTCATAAACTAATTATTCCAAAATTCCTTACCTCCTTTAAATAGAATATAGCAAATAATGCCAACAGATACTGTGAACCAAGTTAAGACTCATTCAGAAATTCAAAAATACCTATAAAAAGTCTGCGGAATACTTGTATTTTGCTAATTGTTTTAAAACAACTAAATCTAAGATAAATACATTTTCATCAAACCTGAGTTAAAAATCCTTGTTAAATGTATAAGAGATTAGGAAATGCTAATATACAGATGAAATACACATTTCTGAAAAAAGATTTAACGTCTTCATATGTAATAAACCATACTAAAGGAAATGGTAATCCACATTGTGTCCTCAAAACATAATGAAATAGGTTAAATATTCTCTGTGACTGAGAGATTTAACAATAAAATCAGTTTATATTAGTTCAAAAAATTATACTGACAAAAGTGTCCTTCAAGAAGGATTTTCTGATCTAATTGCTATTATTAAAGTCAGAACAGGCTTAAAACAAATACCTCTAATGTGTACTCACAAACCAGGCAAAATTAGAATAGACTTTCCCTAAAGACTTGGTAAACATTCAATTAAAACTTAACAACTGCAAAGTGCAAGCCAGTTCCTCCTCTGGCAGATATCTCAGTATCTCAAAGTTCCCAGAAGCTTTCACAGGGGTTAAATTTGACTCCTCATTTTTAAAGTAAGGTGATTGAAGTATTCCCTGGGATAAAATTAATTTCCACATTAACAATTTTCTTACCTATTGTTTCGACATTGAAAAGGGGAAGTGATGTAATTACCATGGTATTAGCCTAGCAAACTGGATTTCAAAAGCTCTTGGAATGAAAACAATTATTTTAATGATATTCTTCAGTTCGATTAGGAAAGCACATCCTATCTTACAATTTATGCTCTACCGTGTTTCACACAGCTTATACATTTACCTTCATTTTTCTTGATGGTAAAATTTGGATTGTTGACCATTTCTGGCAGGAGACTGTATAAGAAATAATGTCCATTTTTGGGATCATCTTTGTCCATGGCACTCACTGTTTGAATGACCTGTAACATAAAATTCACATCAGTATTTCTGATCACATCACAGGACTCCTACTGTCGTTAAACCCCTAGTGATATCCCTTTTGTGGTCTGATGCTTTGGCCCAAACACTTCTTTTCAGCTTTCTAAATTGTCATGGATGGTTGGTGCCAAGAATAAGGAGAAAAATTCATCACTTTAAAACCTCAGCTTTGATAAGTTGGTGTAAATTAAGAGCATTACTGTCATGTCCTTTGTAGTCTGTGGCTTGAAATAGCAAAGTTAAGTGTATTTGAAAATTCCACTGGGCAATTACATGTTTTCTTTCCAATTTGAGTATTTACGGGCATCTAGAATGAGACTTGGAATTGTTACAGTGATTGCAGTGTGGCTCTTGGGAGGATCTTAGAGGTAAAGGACTTAAATTTTGAGTTCTTAGGACTCTTCTTTCATTTTGCTCATCAGGTTACAAGTGTTTGCCAAATAGAGAGTTCTGCCACACAAACATCACTGCAACAAACCTTTCTGATGAGTTGCATCTGTTCCCTCCCAATAATGAATACTGCTTTTAAAGCTAGTGGATAACATATGCAAACAATGCTTTGGAGTGTATCCTGAGATGAATAAATTATAGGGATTAGAAGAATTACCACTGTGCAGAGAAATGTTTGGATAGATACGGATACTTGGAATTGGTGCCTACAGAATGTACTTGCTTCATTTGCAAAGCTACATTAACTTTATGCTAAGTTATTTCTTTGGATGTCAGAGATGTGTCTTTGTATGTATGATTTTATGATATTTATTACTTTAATGGGAAACCGGGCAAGAGCTAATATAATAAAAGTATAGCTTATATTTCTATTACCTCTGACATTTATGCTTCTATTGTCATCAGCATCTTGTGTAGAATTTCCATTGTAGTGGGTTGTAAAAAGCTATGAAATGAATTCCACAAAAGGCCAATGTTTACAGTAAAACAACTGTAATTATAAAGTCTATAAAGTCGGTAAAAAATGCTGATGAAGCCTAGCAGCCAAGGTGATCATAGATTTAGAATTTAAAAAAAAAACATAGTTAACAGTGAAATATGCTCAATTTTATGACATTTTGAGTATGTAAAAATCATGCCAAATATATTATGCCTGTTTGGACATTTATGTTCTATTGAATTTTGCAAGTTAAAGTGAAAAAATGGATCATTTCATTTTGTAAAATGGTAGTTACTTACAACCTGCACAAAGGTGAGAACCTCAATTTCAGAACTTTCAATAGTCATGCCATTTTGCATTATATCAAGCACATATTATATGATTGGAAATACCCTAAATATAAAAATAAAATAACTTCTCCTAATTCAATTTTTTGCACTTTTAAATGGAAATATATTCTTTCTTTATGTTTAAATGTAGTTTAAGTGATACTATAACATAAAATACCCCAAAATATAATTAGTGGTTAAGTCAGTGATGTAGCGATTCAGAGAAAGGACTTTGGTAAACTTCCTAGATAGAAGTCCGAGTTTTACGTGTGACTCTTTGAAGGAGTTAACTCTTTCTGAAATTCAATCCTGTTTGTAGGCCTAAAATAGAAAAAATACATTTTCTCAAAGAGTTTTTTAAATTACTGATGTAAATTCACATTACTCTCTTGACACACTGCCTCATTCCTTTGGGATATTTAATGAAGTGCTGGTCATCATCATTATTATTTTTATTATGGTCATTAGTATTTATTGATGACATGGCACTGTGATAAGTGAAATAACTGATGTTATTCAGAGATCCCCATTCAATCATTTTAGAGGAGAACAAAATTGTATTTGCTGTAGCTAAACACATACCACATTTGCCTTGACATTTAAGTATAGAGAGAGGCCCTGGGGTTTTCGTTTTGTTAAAAATAAGCATGAATGGATGTGAAAGGGGAAGATGATGTGGAATACAGGTAACTCTTTTAGACAACATGAATATACAAATATTGAACAGAAAAATATGTATTGGCCCCTTCATTTAAGATCAGCGGTGTGGATTTTCATATTCCAGAGTGAAGAAAATGGCAAGAGTCTTCCTGTGACCACAGCAGTTTCAGCAGCCCCTCTCCCATTTACTCAGTCTTCTCTGTACCAAATTTTATTCCCAGGTGTTGCAGAAGTTAACTTCTGAAGCATATGGTGCACGAGAAGAATAAACACAATGAAGAAAAGGTTTCTAGGAATTTTCGGATGGACTTCACTCATAATTAAATGCATTCCTATTATACTTAGTGGGAAAAGTAATATCATTCATATATTTATAAGTAATCTGCATGAAGCTCATGCATGCTGGAATGAATCAATATGAAAGTTATTTGATAAGCAGAGCCAACATGATCCCCCAAAGCATGAAGTAATTTAGCTTACCTGCAGCAAAGGAGTACAATTGCCTGCAAACCACACAGCTCAGAAAATTTGAACTGAATTCCCACCAGAATATGGAATATGGCTTCCCCCCATCATTTATGTAAATCAGGATTTATTAAGTATGCAATTTCTTCTGCCTCATTCCAGAATTACTGAACCAGAAAGTTTCAGAATATGGCTTGGCAATCTGCAGGGTCAACAACCTTTTCTGTGAATCAAGTGTACATTTACATCTAAGAACCACAGTTTTGAGTCAAGGAAAAAGAATGGTGTTCACACAACCCACATAATTATTGAGTAAGTTTGTATCATTAAACATATATTAAACTTAGTGCATGATGTGTTGATAAGAAAGTGGTTAAAATGGTAAAATGGTAAATCTTTAAATCCTATTTCAAATATCCCTTAAACTGGCTGTGGTTAAGATTTTGGGTTAAGCCATGTTTGACACTTCATTTTATTTTAATGCAGATAGCCCCTGCCTGGGCATTTTATCTAATATTAGATGTCCAGTAGATCATTTGAAGGACTTTGTGCCATTAAAATGCATTAAGATACCCATATTAATAAGGCTGAAGTTTTCATTGATGTAATAACATTTGAATACACTTAACTTTAAACAGTAGAAGAAAAGGAAAAAACAGATTTATTCAAAGTGTGCTCCTCCAGAGAGGCATATTGCATAGGCGCACTGAGTAGATGGCAAATGAAAAGTGCATCGTTCCACCCCTGAGCTACTATGACCTCAGTTGATTTTTAAAATAATTAAAGAGCTATCTCATGGGAATAATGTCAGAATTTCTGGAGAGGTTATAGATTTTTAGGAATATGCATTTAACTTTCCATTTAAATGTTTCCCTTTTATTCATAAAAGTTAGGATGCAACTGACAAATCTGATGTTTAATAATTTATTGTGAAATCTATTGAATTTCAGGGGAAGCTAAAAGTAAAATATATAACTGTATCAGGAGGGAAAAATAGCATATCTGGGATGTCAGCATGAGGAAATGAATTCCAGGTTGTGCTTGAATTTCAATGGGAGCTGACTTTTAGTTTTCTTTCTTTCTTTCTTTTTCTTATTTTGGGAGTGTGGGGGGGCTACCAGGGATTGAATCCCAGGAATGGTTAACCACTGAGTGACACAGTTCCAGTCCTTCTTCTTTATTATTATTATTATTATTATTATTATTATTATTATTATTATTATTATTATTTTTGAGGCAGGGTCTCACTAAGTTGCTGAGGCTGAGTCTCACTAGGTTGGCCTCAACCTTGCCATCATCCTGCCTCAGCCTCCTGAGCCACTGGGATAACAGGTGTGCACCATCATGACTGGCTGACTCTGTTTTATTTCTTGAGACTATTGATTTGAAATAGAACACCTCCCAAAGGCAAGAAACTGAAGAAAAGTTAAAAGTTGTGTATCATAGCATAAATCTGACACTCTAAAAATATTCTTGTACTTTTTAATTCCAATCTACATCAGGTTGTTTTTATTAACAGTGTTACTAAACCTTTCTGGACTATTTTACATGATCTAAGAAACACTTAGTAGTAGTAGAGTATCCCTGCCATTAATCACTTGTGAAAAGACAAGCAGGCAACAATCCATTTCTGGTGATCTGATCTGTTAACAAGCATGATGACATCATGGGATCTCTTAGAGCTACTCCTAGACCAATGTCTGGCACATGGCAACTACTTAATAAGTATTGGTTAAATGAGTTAATGATGGATCAATAAATAAATGATGGTACACATATTTCACATTCTTACCATTCCTCTCAATGCCTTGAGAAGTAGGCATTCAGAGACATATCAGCATCCCAATGCATCAAAGACATTATATATAATTTCTCATCCCAGATATGCCTGATTACAAATTTCTTACATTCCTCCTTTCCAATATTAATTCAAAATCTTGCTGATGTTCTTACATGCTATTCATACCTTTCTATTAAATGGGAGTTGAGCTTTCAATATTTTGGAGAATGTGTAAAAACAACTAATATATCTTTGTGGCTCATGTTCCCTATTAATTCTGATTGGCAAAATCACAACAAGTGAATATTTGGAAGTCATAATTTTCCCTAAGTGTGGACGAGGTCAGTGAGCACTCATCTGTCACAACTTTTGGAATATTTTTCAAAGCTTTGGAAACATATATCTATTGTTCTGGAAGACTCCAAAATGATAGCCATGCAATTGAACATGCAATTGAAGCACCCTGTTTCCTTCCCAGGTAAAACTTTGAGTTTTAATTTTACTTTTCTGAAAATCCTGCAGTGTTGTGAATTGGAAAGTGATATAAATGGGTCAATAAAAAAGACAGGGATGTCAAAGTTGATGCAGAAGGGATAGCATAATTTAATTTTTTCTATTAACTCTCTTATTTTTTTCTAGTTAATTTCTGATTATGCATATAAATTTTCCTGAAATGATAATGTCTATTTCCTAGATCAATATTTTCCATCGTGGGAAAGAAAGACAGCTCCACAGATGAGCTTCATGTGTCTTACAGTTGCCAACATGAAAGTGAAATTTTGTAAAGATATTTACATATTTACATATGAGGGGGAAATTAGTGGCTTTTATCAGGTTGTCTGTGTTGCCCATAACTAA